TTGGTGACAGCCTTCCGCCCCTCTCCCGGGGGCCGTGGCCCTCAACGTCAGGAAACTTGTGGACGCCGGGCCTGGCCTCCCGAAGAGGCAGCCTCAAGAGGCCAAACAATGGAGACGGAGGAGAGGTTATTAACCGTTTCCTGAACCGAGTCATCGAGTCCCCGGGACTTTGATCCGAAGGTTCGATGCGTGTGGCTGTCGCTGACTGGAAGCTCACAGGAGCCGCGCTGTCATCGTCACACGCTGCCTCTACCCTGGGGGCCGGGCTGGGATCTCTCGGGTTTGCTCGGGCTGGCTCGACCTCCTGACTTCGAGCGATCCTCCACTCGGCCTCCTGAGTGGCTGGGACGACAGGCGTGGCCTCCGCGCCCGGCTCGTTTTTTTTGAGGTGTTTTGCCCCCTGATGGGACAATATTTCCAAACACGTCGCCTCCCGGTTGGCATTCTGGTAGGAGCTAAGGACAGACGGACGACCTGTGAAAACAGGGGTCCCAACCGGGCGCGGGGCTCACGCCTGTCGTCCAGCACTCTGGGAGGCCGAGGCGGGAGGATCGCTGTCGAGGTCAGGAGTGGAGGCCCCTGAGCAAGAGCGAGACCCCGTCTGTACTAAAAATAGAAGAAATTAATTGACCAATAAAAAATATATAGAGGAGAGAAAAAATTAGCCGGCTTGGTCGTGCATGCCCTGTAGTCCTAGGACTATGGGAGGCGAGGAGGGAGGCGCTCGAGGTCGGGAGTTGGTGAGCGAGGCTGACGCCACGGCGCTCACTCCAGCCCGGGGGACAGAGCGAGACTCGGTCTCAAAAAAAAAAATTGTCACCAGAGAGATTCTAGCTACATCAGCTCAAAACCCCTGCGTAGAATATTATTATTATTAGTCTACTATTATTATTTTTTAAATATATTTATTTCTTCTTTTTCTTTTTTATTTTCATTTTTCTTGTTTGTTTTTTTTTTAATCTTACCTCGGGCCGTGCCGTGTCAGCACAGCCGAGTCTAAAGCCTTATTTAAGCAGAGGCCGAAAGTCTTTTTGAGGCCAGAAAAGGGACAAACAATTAAGGCTGTCCCTGACCCCAAGGTCGCAGCTAGTCCTGGATCTCACATTTCCCTGCATAAAAAAAAAAAAAAACAAAAACAAAAAAAAACAAAGAATGAAAGAAACGGCACGGATTTGCTCGAAAATTCCAGAAATGCATTCAGGAAAATGAAGGGAAATTAGGGGAAAAGGTGATTGCACGGACTCAGCGAATCTCTAATTCGGATTAGACCGGATTTTTCCGGGAGACGAAACGCCCGCGTGAACACGGGTTTTAGCAATGCCGGGTCTACACCTGCGGAGAGTCAGGGTTCTGGTCTCTACTATTTAGAGGCTGAGGAGGCTGCGGGTGGTTGGTTTGTGGGCAGGAAACGCACAGATAGAAAAGCCTTTGGTTTTTTTTTTTTTTGAGCCAGAGTCTCGCTCTGTCGCCCGGGCTGGAGTGAGCGCCGTGGCGTCAGCCTCGCCCTCAGCCTCGCTCACAGCGGCCTCCGACTCCTGGCCTCCAGCGAGCCTCCCGCCTCAGCCTCCCTCCCAAGTAGCTGGGACGACAGGCATGCGCCACCACGCCCGGCTCGTTTTTTTATTTTCTATTTTTCGTTGCCCATCTAATTTATTTTTACTAGACACGGGGTCTCGCTCTTGGGCCCAGGCTGGTTTCAAACTCCTGACCTCGAGCTATCCTCCCTCCTCGGCCTCCCTCCCGAGTAGCTGGGACTACAAGCATGCGCCACCACGCCCGGCTCATTTTTTCTCTATATATTTTTAGTTGTCCAATTAATTTTTTTCTGTATTTTTTTAGGTAGAGACGGGGTCTCGCTCTTGCTCAGGCTGGCCTCCAACTCCTGACCTCCAAGCGACGGGTCTGGGCTCTTGCTCCAGGCTGGCCTCCAACTCCTGGCCTCAGCTGAGCTATTGCCTCAGCCTCCCCTCCCGAGTAGCTGGGACGACAGGCATGCGCCACCGAACGCCCCGGCTCATTTTTTCTTATATTTTTTAGTTGTCACATATCTTCTCTTTCATTTTAGTAGAGACGGG